GATGAGGTCTCGCTGCCCAGGTGGGTCTCGAACCCGCGGGCTCAGGGAATCCACTCACCTTAGCCTCCCAAAGGCGCAGGATTACAGGCTGAGCCGCTGAGCCCGGCTCCACTTCTGTTTTTATATGCTTATCCACTCCTGTATCTTTTTTGCTCCTTTCGGGTTTGGGAGATGCTGTTTCTTCCATTTTTGTTTTTGTTTGTGTCTGTATCTTTCTTCCCATTTGACTTCCCACAGGTGACATTGCATTCCGGTTCCTTAATTATGTTCAGGCTCAGCAACAGAGAAAGAAGAAGAGGCAGTTAAGGGCCCAACAAAATTTATCCTGGGAAGAAATTGCCAAAAAGTACCAGAATGAAGAGGATTCCTTGGGCGGTTCCCATGTCATGGTCTGTGACATCAACAAGGAGATGCTGAAGGTTGGAAAGAAGAAAGCCATTGCACAAGGACACAAAGCTGGTGAGTCCTACAGATAGAAGACACAGGTGAAATGTTTGTATGTTTATAGAATTAGAAGGAGTGTTCTTTATGGCTGTGTAATATTTCATCGTATATATGAACAACATTTTTTTTATCCAGTCCTGTTTTAATGGGCAGCACAGTTGGTTCCATGTTTTTGCTATTGTGAATAGTGCTGCAATAAACATGCATGTGCAAGTATCTTTTTTGTAGAGTGATTTAAGTTCCTCCGGGTATATTTCCAATAGGAAGATTGCTGTGTCATACGGAAGATCAATTTCTAGTTCTTTTAGGAATTACCACACTGTTTTCCATAGAGTTGAACTAGTTTGCATTCCTACCAACAGTGTAGAAGAATTCCTTTTCTCCGCATCCTCGCCAGCATCTGTTGTTTTTTTTGGTGTATTAATTAATGGTGACTACTCTTATTGGAGTTAGGTGGTATCTCAGTGTGATTTTGATTTGCACTTTTCTGATGATTAGTGAGGCTGAGCATTTTTTCAGCAACTTGGATGAAATTGGAGTCAATAATACTCAGCAATTTATCACAGAAACAAAAAACTGAGTACCACATGTACTCACTCATACGTGGACCCTGCACATTTACTATAATATTATGTATATGGCGAGGCTCGGTGGCTGAGCCTGTAATCTGTAATCCCAGCACTTTGGGAGGCTGAGGTGAGTGGACTGCCTCAGCCCGCGTGGTTCAAGACCAGCCTGGGCAACTTGGCAAGACCTTGTCTCTACCAATAAATAAAAAAAATTAGCTGGGCATGGTAGCACGCACCTGTAGTTCCGGCTACTTTGAAGGCTGAGGTGGAAGGATCGCTGGAGCCCAGCAGGTTGATGCTGGGGTGGCCATGTGTGTGCCACTGCACTCCAGCCTGAGCAACAGAGTGAGACTCCAACTCAAAAAAAAAATTTATACATATATATGTATTTATATATATTTATATATATATATAAATAAAAGGAATTGGCAGTAACTGGAAACTGCCAGGGGAATGGGGGAGCACTTAACATTAATAATGATACCTGCTCTCAAATCAGGCAAAGTGGAGGCCAAAGGGAGGCCCTAACTTTACCTGTGCAATGACCACTTGTATTCCTAATCCTGAATCCTTTAAAATAAAATAAATTAGAAAAACATAAAAATAGGCCAGGCGCGGCTCAAGCCTGTAAACCCAGCACTTTGGGAGGAGAGGCAAGAGGATTGCCTGAGCTCAAGGGTTCGAGACCAGCCTGAGCAACATGACGAGACCTCATCTCTACAATAAATTTAAAAATTAGCCAAGTGTGGTGGTGCATATCTGTGGTTCCAACTACCTGGAAGTCTGAGGCAGAGCCCAGTGGGTCGAGGCTGTGGTGGCTGTGAGCAGCGTGCCTCTGCACTTCAGCCTGGGTGACAGAATGAGACTCCGACTCAAAAAAAATTAAAATTAAAAATAAAATAATTAAATGGAGTGTGTAAGTGTCAACATACTTTATTTTCCAGCTTTCAGAAACTTACAGATGGACAGGATTTGAAGATAATTTGTGTGGCTGAGTCTAATTTATGTTGTGTTATATACATTATTTCAGCAACCTATTGAGCTAGATTATGAGCTCTGTGTGACAGGAGAGATCACCAAAGCCCAAAGAAGTCAAGAATTTTATCATAGGCAAACAACTTTTAAATAACAGATCCCAAATTGGAGCAGAATCTTCCAGTCTCAGCTCTTGGACCCTGAAACACAAGTGTTGGTTTCAATTCTCAATAGCTCCAGGATGACCTTGGTGTATCATTGCCATGCTTGAGTCATTCCATTCTATCAGTACTATAATGTGTTGATTGATATGCATCTGGAGCTCTGATCTCTTGTAAAGAAAGAACTTACCCTTGAGCCATAGGAGCGCAGTTAGTACCCACGCAGTTAGTACCCACATCCCCTGCCTCAGCTTCCAAGGGAGCCAGGATTTTTCTTGGCAGCTTCCAGCCGTTGACCAAGCACTGTGGGGCTACTAGGGCCTGGACATTTCCCAGGCAGGACTCTAACAGCTAGCCTTTGTTCCAGAGATCCTTTTTGGGTAGGCTGAGGCTTTCTCAGATCTAAGTTGAGGTCTAAAGACTTTTTCTGCTCAGTCTTTCTTCCTCTTCCTTTTATCTTTTCCAAGTGTTGACCATCCCCTCAAAACATTTTGCACATCTTCCACCATCTCAGCATCTGTTTTTTAGAGGACCTAACTGATATAGTTGAAGAAGCATCTGTGAACCATAATTCTCACACTTCCGTACCACAGTAGATAGCAGTGGTGGATAGGCAAGTGACTGTATAACTCTAGGTGGCCACCTCAAGTTAGCTTTAAAAATGTGAATTTTACATTTGACTTTCTGCTTTTTTTTGAGTCAGAGTCTCACTCTGTCACCCAGGCTGGACTACAGTGGCATGCTCGCGGCCACCCCAGCATCAACCTGCTAGGCTCAGACAATCCTTCCACCTCAGCCTTCCAAATAGCCGGAACTACAGGTGTGCGCTACCATGCCTGGCTAATTGTCTGATATATTGTAGAGATGAGTTCTTACCAGGTTGCCCAGGCTGGTCTGGAACCCCTGGGCTCAGGCAGTCCTCTCACCTCGGCTTCCCAAAGTGCTGGGATTACAGGCTTGAATACCACACCCCACTGACTTTCTGTTTTTTTAAAAAATACTTGTTTCCCAGCTTGGCATGGTGGCTTACGCCTATAATCCAAGCATGAAGATCACTTGAGACCAGGAGTTCAAGACCAGCCTGAGAAACATACCCCACTCTACAAAAAATAAAAATACAAAACTTAACCAGGCATGGTGACACACATCCATAGTTCCATCTGCTGAGGTAGGAAGATGGCTTGAGCCCAGAAGACTGAGACTGCAGTGAGCCATAATTGCACCACTGCTCTCCAAACTGGGCAGCAGAGTGAGACTGTGTCTCCAAAATAATTAAAATAAAATACTTGTTTTCTTCCCATTTTTTCTAGTAAAATTAATGATTCTGGCAGCTGTACCTTGTTGGCCGAGGCTTTCAGAGCCAGAGCACTGCCCTCTTCCAAGCTGGCCAGGCACTGCAGACAGCTACTGTGCAAGACAGTGGTACACAATAAAGAAAAGAAAGTCGCCCAACTCAACATCAACATATCTCTCCTCCTTCCCCACCATGAGTGCCTATTGTTACTTTAGCTCAATTCTTCTTCTTCCTCCTCTTCCCACCCCCAGAAGAAACTGCCTAGAGGAACCACAGCCCACTTGGCCCTCAAGATGAAGGGCTCTTTTGTTGCCATTAACACTGATCAGAAGGCAGACATTCTGTAGTGTTTTTAGACAAAGGCACTATGACTCCTTACTCCTGCTGACAAACGTGTTTCCCTTCTCTCTGGTGCTCTGCCTGCCGTAAAGAATGGAGAACAAAGAGATCGAAAGGATGGGCAATGCTCCATTTCTGGAATCATCTCTTCCATAGCATAGCTTGCCCTTTGAGCTCTCCTAACCACCATGACAAACGCACTTGCATAGGAATTAAGTGCTGCACAGTACAGTTTTCTTTATCTTGCCTCCTGTTATCAATCTCCAATAATAATGCTTTTGTAAAAAATATAATGAAAAAAAGTTGAAACTAAGTAGAAGGATCTAGAAATTATTTAATAAATGTAAATGTTTAAGCATTTTATGAGCAACCCCCTTGGGTCCTCTCAATAAATCCAGCTTTCAAAAAAAAAGTGTTTATATGTGTTTTTATTTATATTTTATATGTAGCACTTCCTCCCCAAATGAAATCTGGAAGGGCTGGAACTTACATGTATATTTACATATATATTTTTTGACAAATTATAAAAGTGATATATTTGAGAGAATTTTTGGAAAAGTGTCAACAAGAAAGTGAATGTTACCCATAGTTCCAACATCCAGAGATGTTCCTCAGTTTTTTTGTTTTTTGGGGTTTGTTTGTTTTTTTTAGTAGGATTCTCACACTGTCACCCATGCTAGAGTGCAATGGCAGGCTCACAGCCACTGCAGCCTCAATCTGTTGGGCTAAGGTGATCCTTCTACCTCAGCCTTCTAAGTAACTGGAACCACAGGCACGTACCACAACACTTGGTTAATTCTTTTTTTTATTTTTTGAGTTGGAGTCTCACTCGGTTGCCCAGACTGGAGTACAATGGCCACTCCCAACCACCGCAGCCTCGACCTGCTGGGCTCCGGCGATCCTTCCGCCTCAGCCTTCCAAGTAGCTGGAACTACAGGTGCGCACTACCATGCCTGGATAATTTTTTTTTTTTGATTTATTGTAGAGATGAGGTCTCGCCAAGTTGCCCAGGCGGGTCTCAAACCCGCGGGCTCAGGCAGTCCACTCACCTCAGTCTCCCAAAGGTGTGGGATTACAGGCTGAGCCACCGAGCCCGGCAATTATTTTACTTATTGTAGAGATGAGGTCTCGCCAAGTTGTCCAGGCTAATCTCGAACCCCTGGACTCAGGCAATCCTCTTGCCTCTGCCTCCCAAAGTGCTGGGATTATAGATATGCGCTACTGCACCCAGCTGCACCTCAGTATTTTAATGTTTCCTTCCTTCCTTATATTTTTCCTAATTATTTCCTTTTTATAAAACTGAGAACATCTTATATATCCAATTTAGTATCCCACTTTAATTCACTATTGTATCAAAAGATTTTTTATGTCATTAAAAATTCCTAGAAATCAGCCAGGCTCAGTGACTCAGCCTATAATCCCGTGCCTTGGGAGGCTGAGGTGAGTGGATTGCCTGAGGGTTCAAGACCCACCTGGGCAACTTGGTGAGACCTCATCTCTACAATAAATTAAAAAATTAGCCAGGTGTGGTAGCGCGCGCCTGTAGTTCCATCTACTTGGAAGGCTGAGGCAGAAGGACTGCCGGAGCCCAGCAGGTCGAGGCTGTGGTGGCCGGGAGCGGCTACTGCACTCTAGTCTGGGCGACAGAGTAAGACTCCAACTCAAAAAAAAAATTCCTATAAATCATTAGTTTTTATTAATTTCTCCCATGTGGATGTTTCATGATTCACATAACCAATAACCAATTGATCTTTCTTTTTTCCCTTAATTTCTTTAACTGGTTAACTGTATGTCTTTGTTTGTTTGTTTGTTTGAGTTGGAGTCTCACTCTGTTGCCCAGACTGGAGTGCCGTGGCCGCTCCCGGCCACTGCAGCCTCGACCTGCTGGGCTCCAGCAATCCTTTCACCTCAGCCTTCCAGTAGCTGGAACGACGGGCGCGCGCTACTACACCCGGCTAATTTTTTATTTATTGTAGAGATGAGGTCTCACCAAGTTACCCAGGCGGGTCTTGAACCCGC